AGGAAGGAGGGAAGGAAGGAAGGAGGGAGGGAAGGAGGGAGGGAGGGAGGGAGGGAAGGAAGGAGGGAGGGAGGGAAGGAGGGAGGGAAGGAGAGGAAGGAGAGAACAGCTGAGGCTCCACTCCAGCAAATTCTGTCCACATCCTAGCCTTGCCTGTGCCAGGCTGTCTTCAGGGTACTTCCTTTTTCCTCAAAGTGCTGGCCCAGGAGCCCCCAACCCCAACCTGCCCCAGTGCTGGCTGTCCCCCAAGCACCTGTGGGAAGCTCTGTTCCAGCCTAATGGTGTAGGCAAGCCTGGCCTTAGCAGCCTCCAGCCTGGTGCTGACGTGGAAACGATGCTCCTCCCTCCCAAGACAAATGTGCTCTCCACCTCATCCTTGGGGTATCGCAGCTGGGCTGGGAAAATGCATATGAGATCTCATCAGGACTCTGATGAAACATTCAGGGAGATGCTGGCTCCAGGCTGTGTGTGCCGCCTCCCAAAGCCCCAGGTCCAGGAGACCCATAGCTGCTGGGCTGGAAGAACTCTGAGGAAGTGAGGGTTCTGAGCCTCAGTTTAGCACCAGCAGCTGTGGCCACAGCTACACTCACTCCTGGCCCTTCCTCATAAAAATAACACTGACTTGAAGATAGCTGTTAGCCTGAGCCCAGCAGGTAAGAATCCCAGCTGCAGTATCTCTGTAGGTGACAGGGGGCAGTCTAGCACAGAGGACTATGCTCAGACGCTGGCAACAAACAGAACTGGTCTCCCAGTTCGGCTCCACCACCCATAGGGTGAGTGACCTCCAGCTAGTTCCTGAATCACCTAACCGTTAGCTTTCTACTCCAAAAAATGGGAATAATGATACCTGTTAATGGGTATCATGAAAATTGTATGACTTAAAAATGTGTTAACTTCCAGAAATTCTGGCTGAATAGCAGAGTCACTTGGGGTGCTCACTAAAAAATATAGATTCTGAGGTCCCACATAAAACCTGTAAAAACAGAATCCCTGGGAAAAGGTTCAAGAATTGGTATTTTTAACAATCTCACCAGAAGCATTATTACTTTAGTGATACCCCCATCAATAATGTTCAGCCTGAATCTCATCTTGAACAATCTGACAAATTCACATTTGGAGAATGCTTTATAAAATAACTGCCTGGACCCTTCAAAACTGTCAATGCAGATTTTTTTCATCTTTACAGTGGTTAATGATAATGACATGTTTGGGGGAATATATTGCAAATATCTTCAACTTACTTTGAAATGTATCCAAAAATAAGACAGATGGATGGGTAGAGAGTTAGGTATTAGAGTAAAATAGGAATGGGCAAATCTAAGTAGCTAGTACATGGTTGTTCGTTGTAAAATTATCTCAGTTTTTTGATCTCTGAAAATTTTATAATGAAATGTTAGGAAGGAGGGTAGGAAGTAGGAGGAGAATGTTCTGGATCAGGAATTAGGTTTTCTTCTTCTTTTTTTTTTTTGAGACAGTCTCACTATGTCACCCTTGGTAGACTGCTGTGGCATCACAGCTCACAGCAACCTCAAACTCTTGGGCTTTAAGTGATTCTCT